TCAGTCACTCTGCTAGCAGTTTCTTTTCCAAGTTGTTCCCCCACCCTGATATTTAACTCAAAAATAGTAACAAGACAAGAAGTCAAAACAGTGGCTCATCATATTCACCAAATCTCATCATCAAGACTATATTTACTGAAAATTTTTTGAAATTTATTAATTTAGGGTTTCTTTTTTAAATAATCAAAACTGTGTGAAATCATGACTGCTGTGCAAGTAAACTCATCATCTGTCAGTCCCTTTGATATATTCTTGCACCATGCTGCTCTGTCCCTCATACATTTTCTTATCACTTTTCAGGCTTAGCACGTTAATTTTTTTCTTAAAAATATCTAATTTCCTTTCAATTCATTCCTCCTTTTGCTTGTCTGAGTCATCTTGAATAAATTGTGTATGTATGAAGATGTCAGTGTATATAGAGGAACGATGTGAATCAGAATATATTAAACTGACACTGTCAGTCTGCTTTCAGCACCAACCTCACAAGCATAAATTTCCTACTTTATTTTTTTTACGGGGGGAAAAAAACCCAAAAACTTCTTACTAAAGAAACCCCTTAACTATTTAAGACCAGTTTCTGGACTCATTTTCCAAATAAATGTCAAAACTTACTATTGAAAAAATGAGGAGAGTTCAATCTAGAATACCCTAGAGTTACTCCACAGCAGCAGACAAATGGGGATTTCTGCAAAAGAGTTGTTTTGCTTTGTTTTGTTTTCCTGTAAAAGAATTTTTATGAAGTCGATCTGATTTAGTTTGGGCTTTCATCATGAAATGGAGGAAACTGCCTACGTGCAAAGGCCTTTACATATAAAGAATTCATATTTAAGAATGGAAAGATGTTTTATATAAAAGGTGATAAGACCAAACTAAAGCCCTCTTTATAAACATTAGTACCAGTTAAAATATACACTTTTAAAATACTAGTGCTTAAAATATTCCAACTAATTTATAATAATCAGTAAATTACTGACTTAATATTTTATTTCTGTAACGTTAACTAAGAGCAGTGTCTTTATTAAACAGTGAGATAGGATGAGAATCACTTCATTGAGCCTTAAAATATACCAACTTTTGTTGGGCATTAGCTCTTAGAATGTCGCTAAAGTCATACACCTGGGGGAAAGCAGGCAGGCACACATGTGTAGGTAAATTATTGACTGATTCAGGAAGCATCAAGAGAAGACAGAAAGAATAAACAGAAACACTGGACCAAACAGAACTAATCGACTCTCTACCATTTCAGGAGGTAACATATAACCAAGAACCAATGGTGATGAAGGAACAAAGATAAACTGCACTGAAAGCATTAGCCAAAAACAAAGCCCCAGGAATTGATGGATTACCAACTGAAGTGTTCCAACAAGCTGATAAAGCACTGGAAACACTCACTGGTACATGCCACAAATTTGGAAGACAGTTACTTGGCCAACTGAAAGAAAGGTGACTCCACAGAGTACTGAAATTATAGAACAATATCATTGATATCACACACAAGTTAAGATTTTGCTGAAGATCATTCAACAATGATTGCAGCAGTATATTGACAAGGATCTGCCAGAAGTTCGGGCCAGATTCAGAAGAGGACATGGGACAAGAGATATCTATCATTGCTGATTTCAAATGGATCTTGGCTCAATGCAGAGAAGACCAGAAGGATATTTATTTTTGTTCATTGACTATGCAAAAGCATTGAACTGTGTTAACCATAATAAATTATGGATAACCTTGAGAAGAATGGGAATTCCAGAATCCTTCATTGTGCTCATTCTGGACTTGTACATGCATCAAGAGGAAATTGTGGGAACAGAACAAGGGAATATGGCATGCTTTAAAATCATGAAAGGTGTACATCAAGGTTATATATTTTTTCAGTATATTTTTTCAATCTGTATGCTGAGCAGATCATCACAGAAACAGGCTTATATGAAGAAAAATGTGGCATCAGGATTGGAAGAAGGCTTATTAACAACCTGCAATAAGCAGATGACACAACCTTGCTTGCTGAAAGTGAAGAGGATTTGCAGCACTTGCTGATGAACATAAAGGATTGCAGCCTTCAGTATGGATTGCATCTCAATGTGAAGGAGACTAAAATCCTCATAACTGGATCAAGAGTAACATCATGGTATCATGATAAATGGAGATTAGGTTGAAGTTGTTAAGGATTTCGTCTTGAATCCACAATCAGTGCTCATGGAAGCAGCAGTCAAGAGAGCAAAAGACATGTTGCATTAGGTCAGTGGTTCTCAACCTTCCTAATGCCGTGACCCTTTAATACAGTTCCTCATGTGGTGATGACCCCAACCATAAAATTATTTTCATTTCTACTTTATAACTGTAAGTTTGCTACTGTTATAAATCCGGTGACCCCTGTGAAAGGGTCTTTGGACCGTCAAAGGAGTTGTGACCCACATTCTGAGAAGCACTGCATTAGGTAAATCTGTTGCATACCACCTTTGTAGAATATTGAAAAGCCAAGATGTTACTATGTTACTTTGAGGACTGCTGTGCACCTGATCCAGACTATAGTGTTTTCCATCACATGAAGTATAGCCAGAGTGCATCTTACAGGCAAGGATGGCAAGATTTAGTTGTATATACTTTGGACATATTGTCAGGAGAGACCAGTCGCTGAAGAAAGACATCTTGCTTGGTAAAGTGGAGGGGCAGTGAAATTGAGGAAGGCCCTCAAGGAGATGGAGCCACACTGGGAGCTCCCGTGAGCTCAGGCACAGGAGCAATTGCAAGCATGGTGCAGGACTCGCCATGCTTCATTCTGCTGTGCCAGGGGGCCCTCGGCGTTGTAGCCGACTCCATGGCACCTAACAACATCTATGAGCTAAAAGGTGGGGAGTCTTAGTACTGCAGCTTATGTTGGGGGGAGGGTCACTGAAGGACTTACTGACTTGAGAGATAATAGTTATTGCTATCAAAATTCATTAGAAAAAAGTTTTTCTATCTTAACAGCAATCATTTCTGAAACCAGATGTTACCCAGATTTACTCATTTGAATATATATACATTCTCACTTTTTGGTTGTTTTTGTTTTAAATTTGTAGAACTGCTTAGAAAACAGCTGTCTGAAAAGGTAAAGCTATTATGATTCCTGAACATTGTATTCCCCAAATCTTTCATATGTGCTATTTGTTTCATGGTGCTGAAAACCTGGCTGAAATTTAAGATCAATCAATCACCTTGGCTTTCTGATAGCCACATTTGGTGTTTTGAAAACAACATGAAGTGCCTGACAGTGACTATGTTTCTCCATATTGAAACACCCCAGTGAGTTCAGCCAGTTAGTCATGCATAGCTAATTTGCCTGAAAATGGCGCTTGGCTAATTTTTGCATATACTTTGGTATCAAGTTTCCTTGTATTAAATATATAAATAAAGTTAATATTTATATTCGCTTGATTTTAAAGTTTGAAATAACCGAGTGGAAAAGTAATAGATAACAGAGTCAAAGTTGGAAACGTAAAACTAAGGTAAGTATAGATTAAAAAAAAGAGAAGCAGGATTGGTATTACCCTGAAAGCCTGTGGTTAGACATTAGGTTGTTTTGGTGTAATTTTACTGTAAACATAACCTGTAGAGTTATATATAAAACGCTGACTATGAAAGACATGAAATACAAACAAACAAAAATCTGTGAAGGCCCTGGACTTTGAATTCCCTCAGAGTTCTGTACAAATGTGGAGTCGGAGCTTAAGTGCTTTGAGATCAATAGATATCTGTCAGACAAGGGTCATGGTACCATTACCAAAATCCTGTCTTACATGACAGACTTTTATCAATATAATCAAGTAAATAATTTTTAGTTATGTTTGATTTTGATTGTTTATGCGCTCATTTTTATGTTGATGCAGGGCAATTTTTGTCCTTAGTGCAAGATATCCCAACTGTGTACCACACCTTTTCCTTCCCTCAACTGTTCTTTGCTGAGCTAATTCTTCCTCATCCTTGAAGACAACCCAAAAGTCATTTCAAGAACTCTTATTCCATTTTGTCCCTAAACAATTAGTTGGAAATTTTACATTTGACAGATAGCATTGCAAAGGTAGGACAGTTGTGGCTCATTGGTAGAATTCTCATTTTCTACATAGGAGCCTGAGGAGCCCTGGTGGTATAGTAGTGACCCTTTAGGCTGCTAACTGAAAGTCATCTGTTCAAAACCACCAGCCGCTCTGCAGGAAAAGGTTGAGGCTTTCTATTCCTGAAGAGCTACAGTCTCAGAAACCCACAGAGGCAGTTCTACCCTGTCCTATGGGGTAGCTTTGCGCCAGAATTGACTCAGTGGCAGTTGGTGTGTATGTGGGAGTCCCGAATTAGATGGCCTAGCAACACACCTCATGGAAAGTCACTTCCTGCCTGGCATTGGGACTTGAGCCTTGCTATTACGATGAACAGGTTCCAGTGGGACTTCCAAACCAAAACAGACTAAGAGGAAAGACCCAGCAATCTAATTCCCAGTATCAGTCCATGAAAACTTTATGGCTCACAATAGTCAAATAAAACAGGAATGGGCAGGATTTTGTTCTGACACGCATGGGTTCATCAGGAGTTTGACTTAATAACGCCTAACAACAACACCACTGCAGAGGTACTCGCCAATCAGAACGGGGCACACAGGCCAGTAAGAATAGACGCTAGATGTGAGCAGCCGGTACCCGTATATAGTTGGTGACAATCAGCTATGCTCAAAGGATAGAGGATGATAAGGTGCAATAAGGTTTGCACACGATCATGGTAATTCTCATGCCTTGTAATCTTTTCTTTACCAACCTCCTTTTAGTCTATGACAATCCTTATAGACAGGTGCCCATCATACTTACTCTGAAATCCCATGTTGTATGATACTTGCTATAAGGAATACTTGATATTTTGAATTAAAATAAAGGAGTTCTATAATAAGGGAACGCCCTTGAAACTAGTTTTAGATTATGTTGTTTCCATTATAATGGTAAATAAACTGCTTTCTATTACTTCACAGCTTTGACTACTGGTAGTTCATGAACGATGAACCCACTTCCTCTATCCAGTTGGAACACCTCCGGTGACTTTTTAAACAAGTCCTGGGATACAGAGTTTGCGTACCCAAATCTCAACGTCGTTGACACAGTCATCCTGCCTTCCCTGATCGGGATTATTTGTTCAACGGGGCTGATTGGAAACATCCTCATTGTAGATACTATAATAAGGTAAGGCCTTTTGTTTCGCCTCCTTAAAAAACTCTTAAGTAAACTCTCCCCTGTAGGTTTTGCTGAATAAAATTACATTTGGAAATATTTCATTAAAACTATTAATGAATGTTCTAGAGATGGGTTATCATGGATGACGTAAATGCTGATTGGCAAATCACAAAATAGGAAGACATAAGTTAGTGCTTACTGCAATACTAGAATCGCCTGAGTATCTTTTAAAAATACTGATACCCAATCCGATTCCAGAACTAGGAAATCAAAATCTCTAGGTGTGGTCCTGGACATTGGGTGGGCAGTGCCACTTACTTGGACAAGAAAGAAACTCTCCCTAATTACCCGACGATCTGGTGGCTCACAGTTGGTAGACTTGCTTCATCAACATACACCATATACAGAGCAAGGCGAGGGACATCTGCTCCCCGGAGCCAATGACCTTTATCCATCTCTTCTACCTCATTCGGGGAATTTCTTCTTTCCTCCCAAGTGTGGACCATCATGTTCCAAGGATCTGACAAAATGGACTTAGAATTAATGCCTGCACCACTGCTGCTCGATGTGTGCTATCCTGGTTATGTTTATACTTTCATTTTACTCATCTTTAATCAGTAATATTTAACTTTTTAATCCTGGACTCTGATCATACTTATAGTTCACCCTGATCTCTAAGCATACTTACAGTTTTACCACTTTGAAAAAAATTCACCTATGCTTACATATTATAAAAGACATGGTTCCAGAACACTGCGTGTTTTCAGTATTGCAACTGTTCCACTGTGCATAGGGACCGCTAGGAGCCGGAACTGATTTGATGGCACCTTAACAGCAACAAGAGGAGCAAAACCCTTCAGGCCTCACATAAGGGTCTGAGGAATTTACTTGGCATTAGTGAGGCATCTAGATGGAAAACCAACAGTTAACATAGGTGGAAATAAGACAACTTCAGAAAGTGGATCTCAGGTGGGGATGGATATAAGGAAAAACACAGAGATTACAATAAAATTGTTGGTTAGTTTTGATTGCGGTCACAAAAAGGATTGAAGAAGTAGGGAAAGGTTTTCAGTGACAAATGCTTGTATATGTTTATTTTTGTTTCTCTCAAGCCAAACTCACTGCAATCAAGTTGATTCCAACTCATAGTAGCCCTTTAAGATGGAGTAGAACCCCCGCTACGGCTTTCCAAGACAGTAACTTTCACAGAAGTAGAAATCCTCATCTCTCTCCCAATACGTATTTATAGTCATAATATCATAGTGCTTACAATCTAACCTTGTCAGAACAGGTCATAAAAATGTTCAAGTTTATGTAAAATATTTCTTGGACCCAACTAGTGATAACAGTAAAGCTTTTCCTTAGAAACTATTTGTTCAAGTGAAACTTTCTTAGTTGCCTGGGCAATAATGAGCTGGTGCTCCAATTTCTTCTTGAAACTCTTTTTGAATATATTTATTATGAAAGCAATATTTTCCAAGTCATTTTATACCAATGTATCTTTGTTAAAACCTCAAGGTGTACTCCTTCCACATCCTGGCTTGGCTGCAAAGAAAATATTCCCTTGGTTATTTACAGAGTCTAACAATTATCATAGATAGATAGCAGGAGCTTATCAGGGGAGCAAACAGGATTTTCTGGCAGGCAGGGCTGCCAAAAAATGGATAAGTTTAATTTAGCAAGAGCTGGTTTTACTTTAATAATTCAGCTTTGATCAAAACTACTTTAAATTTCTCCTTTACATGCTATTAAACAAATTATAACAAATTTCCATAGAGCACATTACATTTACAAAACATACTTGTAAACTCACATAATACTCAAACCATCCATACACGTATTACCCCTTTTTGAGGAAAGAGGCCCGGGAGAGTAAATCACTTCTCCATCTTGACTTAACTGCCACTTAGACACAGATTCTTGGGCCTTCAAGTCCAAGATCCAAATTATTTCTTTTATACTAATGAAAGTAGAGAAACGAGTGAACAAATAAGGAAAATAGGTAGTTGTTTGATGACCTGGATAGGTAGAAGAATGCACACAAAACCAATGGAGCCCATGAGTGAGCAGCCCTGGGAAGATGCAAAATTGATAGTAGTGTCCTCAAGAAAACGGCCAGTCACTTTTCTCCAGGAAGATGAGAGGACCTAGCCAGTCCTCTCTGAAACATTTCTCTCTCTCTAAAGTGCAATATTCTTTTGCTATTTCACACTCTATAATTAAAGATATAGTTTGCACAGTGAGCTTCTAGTCTCAATACCTTCAGGCATTCCTTAAGATGTCTTGAAAAACCATTCGAGAATATCAAGCATTTTAAAGTGGAAGTAATAGCTCAATTCAATATACAGAGATTATTAAATACCTACTGTGTGGACAGCACTGCCCTAGAGGTTATAGACATACCAAGGAACATTGTGTCAGCATCTGCCTCTCTAGTCATGTCTAGAGAGATAATCAGACTGAAACACATGAAATTAGTCCAAAAAGCATAAGGAGTAGAAAAAATACATGGTTCAAATACTGTGTTGGAAGAGAACTTAGGCAATGAAAGATTCCTAGGAAGTTTCCAGGAGGCCTTAGTGAAAGTGAATAGCCAGAGAGAAGAGGCTAATGGTGGGCGAGGATGACAGCCACAGTCTGTCAAGAGAGAACCAGGCACATATTGCAGACAGGAGGAGAGTCGGAGGTAGAGGTGAAGCTTTTATCATGGAATCCTGGTAATCAGCCAGTCAGTCCTTGGAACAATTTCTAGCTCATTCATAGTTGTCTATTTTACCTGCAAATTTCTCCACCTATCTTTCTCAGTATTTTTGTCCAGTTCTACTAAAGCATATAGTGTCTCACACACCCTAAGAGGCTTGCTTTCATTAAGGAAAAAGTCTGTAAAGGATGTTAAACAAAAATCCATTGTCATTGAGTAAGTTCCAACCCAAAGTAACTTGCCCCACAGGGTTTCCAAGACGGTAAGCTTTACAAACGTAACATCGTTCTCCTGCAGAGTGGCTGCCGGGTTAGACCTGCTGATCTTTCCCTTAGGAGCCAAGTGTTTGACCAAGGCAGCAACAGGGCTCCCTTATCAACACTTAGATTCAAAGACTTCAATGGTGAAATTTCAGGATTTTGAACTAAAGAACCTTCTTGGCTCCCTCAAATCCTACCAGTAGATAACAGTCTGCTTCTACCTGCTCATGTAGAGACAAATTTGGGGGGAGCAGGTGGGGGGCGGGGAAAGATGTGGAATTTGAATTCTTCTACATGTCTGTGGTGAGCTGTAATGCATGAAAATACGTTCTCAGCATAAATAATCACTTAACTGGAAACAAAGAAAACCTTTGCCATCATACTACTCTGTTCATGATGATTAAAAAATTGATTTCCTTATATTATTACCATTTTATAGATTATATGTGAGAAAATAGTTAAATAGATAAATATGAATGAAACTCATTAAATGAATATTCTAATCTTTCAAAAAACATTCAGATGCAATTGACTATATCTAGCACGTTTTCCCCCATTTGGTTATGTGGTCAATTATTCTACAAAAATGTAAGGCAATTTTCTATGTTATTACATTGCTTTGCCATGAGTATTTGTGACTGAGGTGAAGTAAAATTACTTAGAATAGCTTATCTATTCATGTCTTTGTAACTCTCACCAAATGATTGGGTAGGATCATGCAAACAGAGTTTGTGAAACACTAATAGAGGGGATTGGTCAGTTTGCCGTTTCACTGAATACATAAGAGTGAGCCATCTCAGAAAAAGCAAGAGAGAATTCTGTGCTCACCAAGAAAAAGGAGCTAGCAGTGGAGTACATGCAAGATCCCTGAAGTGGCAGAAGGAGCAGAGGCCCCAGCGGCCCGAGCATTGAGATCATGACACAGAATAGAGGAGCCTCACTGTGACCCAGATGCAGAACAGAGACACAGCATGACAATAAGGCAGAAGAGCTGGTTTCCTGGCCAGCAGAACATGGCAGAGGTCAGAGGGCCACATTGCTGGTAGAGCAATGACTGGAGAGAGATATGCTTACCAACCTGGTTAAGAAGAGGCACTGGAAGAAGAGAAGGAGGAGGAGGAGAAGAAGAACAAGAAGCACTGAAGACAAAATAACTGTATCCTTAATATTTTGTAACCTGTTAGATTTCCTTAAATAATTCCATCATCATGAGTATTTTCTATGAGCTCTGTGTGAGCATTGCAACAAATCATGGCACCCACCAGAGAACTAGAGTGGCAAAACAGGCTAAAGAAGAATGGAGGGTGGAGGCATGTCTTATCTTTCCTTTGTGGCTTCGGGCCTTGGACTGGTGTGATGTTGGAGCCTCATTCTCTTTTGTGCAGCCAAAGGAAGTCAGACATGACCTCCATACCCTTGCCTCAGTTACCCTCTTAATTAATGAAAGGCACGGTAGAACTACTAAAACGATGCTAAAATAAGAGAACGTAGACACATTTAAATGGGATTTAATTAACTTCCCATTTATGGCATAACACATCAGAGAATGAGCATCAATAAGCTCATTAGTGTGGCTGAGAAGGAAGTAGTGAACTAATTTATGGACTTGTCAAAAGTAGACGAGTATTTCTCTTTCATAGACTTACATGAGATGGAGCCTCAAGAATAAGCTCCGCTCTGTGACTTTTCAACAAACACCAAGTGGTCAGGAAAGCCACCAGGCCAGCTGCTGACCACTCTGTTGCACCCACTGGACTCTAGCAGGCCAAAAGAAAGTCCATTTAGAAAATGTTAGAGGAAAATGCCACATATTCTAGCATTATATCTCCCCCCCATATTCCCAGGAGACAGATTAATGAACTAAGGCATGTTTCCCAGTCACTGCAGTCTCTGGGGACAGACTTCAATAAGAGATGACAATTTTCTACATCAGTCGCCCACCTCCCAAGCACATCCTTCCTCTGGCCACTGACAGAGAGAAAGACTCTCTAAGGAGGCTTTAGCCCCAAATCCAAAGTTCCCATTCCATCATTTCCTTCTCTCCTTAC